GTGGCTAATTTACGTTTTCAACCCAGTTGTTAACACTAAATTACCTGCTTAACAATGAAAGGGCTAGCTTTCACGAGATTGCCCTAATAGCGAAATGTGAAAAAGTAAAGTTGCTTTGTTCTATGAATACACCATGACTATAACAGAGTAGGCAAACACATGTAATTTAATGTTAACAACTGAGTTGAAAACGTAAATTAGCCACCGTAAAGAGTTTAAAAGCTAACGTTTTAAGCGTTAGCCTTTCGTGAGAGCGATGGAAAGAATTGTGGGTTGTGTGTGGGTTTATATGCAGAAAATGGAGCTACACTATTGAAGGGAATATGGTGACGAGAAAAAAAAAATTTGGTGAATGAAAAGCGCTCGTTGATACCGTGAGGATCAAGAGTGCCGATTTGGAAGATAAATTTTTGTTCAATTGTTTTACGGCTTTCCGAACTGCCAAGATGTAGGGAAAGGCCGAAAACTGCCCTTAGCTGTAAAGAATGATTAGGGAGACTAAAGTGTCTGGCGACTGGTTCAGATGCGTCACTGTCATTTCTTTCTACGTCGTGAACGGTGTTCTCGGAATCGGTCACATAGTCGTCTTCCTGTTTCACCCATGTGTAACTTTTTGCAATAAGTGCAGGTTATGCAGTAAATAACATTGGTGGAGGTGCACTTAAAGTGATCAGTGATCTTAATGGATCTCTTGGGTCCCGACATTTTCTCCACGTTATAAATGAAAGGACAAGTTTGCATAAGGTTCATGTTGACGCTATAGGAGAACAGATAAAAGAAGATGATCGAAAAAATAACGAAGTAAGATTGAATTTGAAAGAAAATTAAATGGCTTTTCTCTGTTTATTTCTCGATATAAATTCTAAAGATATGCAAATTCAACAGAATTAAATTTTATGCGCTGGATAGGTATCCGAGGCACAAAAAGTATTAGATAAAAATATCGGGATCACTTCTACAAATAGTCCTGAAAATCTTCAGATTAGTCTTAAAGAAGCGCATTGGTAAATCACTGAAAGCTAACTTGTTATACTTTTCAGTTAACTCAACAAGATTGATCAAAAAATAAGCCTGCGCTTGTGAACAATCAGTCAACTTCAATAGTTGCGACATTTTCTTTCCTGAAATTTATTTTAATCACTTCAAAACCTATCCCTACAAGTTTGAAAAAAAAACACATTACGTCTCCTTGTGTCCCTTTGAGCTTGATCAAGTCTACTTACAAGTGTTTTCATGCATCCATCTTCATTGTCAAGATTCAATCGTATATTAGTGCAGTCAGCAAATATTTCATTTCATTGAATACTGTCTTTCAGTTTTTCTGCGTCATTTTTGCTGGGTGAGGTTTTCTTGTCTTTCTTTGAAACCAAATCAGGTCAATCATTTTAAGCGACGGTTAGTTCTGGGTAAACCGCCACCAATTTCGAGAAAATGACCTCAACATCTTCATGTTTTTTCTTGAACATTTCCTTCATCTGCGCAAGATCGTTTCGTAATTTTTTAAAAAGCGATTCTTGTCCATTCTGACACGTCCGAAACAGTTTGAAGGAAAATAACTTTGAAATAAATAGAAACTTCTGAAGGTCATTTGTAGAAGACAAATATGAAAAATTCCGGACGCGTCGAAAAAACTTTTGAAGAAAATAAATGAGGAAATTCTGACGCGTCAGGAAAACTTTGGAAGAAAATTAATGAGAAAAATTTAGACGCTTCAGAAAAAACTTTTGTGGAAAATTAATGAGAAAAATTCTGACGCGTCAGAATAACTTTTTAAGAAAATAAATGAGAATATTCTGACGAGTCAGAAAAACTTTAAGAGGGAATAAATGAGAAAAATTTCGGACGCGTCCGAAAACTCTTTGCAGAAAATAAATGAGATAAATTTCGAACGTGTAAGAGAAACTTTGGACAAAGATAAATAAGAAAATTCTGACGCGCCAGAAACATTTTTGTAGAAAATAGATGAGAAAAATTTCGGACGCCTCAGAAAAATTTTTGTAGAAAATAAACGAGAAAAATTCCGAACTCGTCAGAAAAAGTTTTAAAAGAAAATAAATGAGAAAATTCTGACGCCTCAGAAAAATTTTGATAGAAAATAAAATGAGAAAATTCTGACGCCTCAGAAAAATCTTTGTAGAAAATAAATGTAAAAAATCCGGATGCTTCAGAAAAACTTTTGAAGGAAATAAATTAGAAAAATTTCGGACGCGTCCGAAATATTTTGATAATATTCACACTCTATTCAAAATTCACGAGTGAGACGTTATGAAAAATTCAAATTGCCTTGAAATCAAGGTTGTTTTGAAAATGTGTCAAACTGTTTTTTTAAATCAAGGTTGACTTCAAATCAAGGTTGACTTCAAATCAAAGTAAATTCATGAGTTGCCTTGAAATCAAGGTTGTTTTCAAAGTGCGCCAGAACGCGCTTTTTAAATACTGCTTAGGGTCATAAAAATGATCTCGTCTCAATGATGCCTGGGAGCCTCTCTATGGCTCGCCGGCCATCTGAACTCCTCATTCCTCACTCCTCACCTGAACACTCGTCGAGGTGTGAGCTGATCACTTTTCAAGTTAAAGATCTGTGCAAAATTTGTCACTTACTGCACTTACCAAAGTTTTCCACTTC